TTTCTAATTTGTCCTTTTTCATATTTTTGAGGGTCTCACTAAATTTATTGGCCTTTTCTAGGAAATTCTTGAAAAACCTTATAACCTTGGTTTTGAACTCTATATCCAGTCATTTGCTTTCCTCCTTTTCTTTCATTTTGATCTGTTTCTTTGTCTCCACATTTTCGCTGCTTCCCTGAGTTGGTAGAGTAGCTTTCTGTGGTAGGTATCCTATAGGGCTCAGTGGCTCAGCCTCCCCAGTTACCTGAGGTGGACACTCTTGATGTACTCCTTTGTGGACTGTGTGCACAGCTTTGTTGTAGTTAAGTCTTGATTGCTGTTGGCATCACTGGGAGGAATTGACCTCCAGGCCAATTGGCTGTGAGGATCAGCTGTGTCTACAGTGGGAGAACTTCTGTGCTGGAGACAGCCTTATGAGACAAGACTTGCAAAATTGCAAAAACCTCTGTGTTCAGCTTGGATTGGGCAGAGTCTCAGGGTGGAACAGACAGCATTGGTTTCCCATCAGCCCTGCCCTAATAGGCCCCTGTGTCTCAGTGTCCCATGGTAATCACTGCAAACACATCTGAGAGAAAGCTGCTCTCAAGTTTCGCCCTGAATGAGTCTGGGTTCCTCAACCTTTTACAGCTCCTCTGAGTCTCAGTTTCCTCTTTCCTTCTAGTTGTAGAATTTCCATTTAGCCAGCATTTCTGTGATTCTGGATGGTGTCTGTTTTATCTTTTAGTCGTAGTTTTGATATTGTTGTGTGAGTCAGCAGTTTAGGTGTTTACCTATGCCACCATCTTGATTTCTTCTGTACTATTTCTTAACATTTTCCTAGTTATGGATTCTGAGTGGCTTTCCTGAATGAAGGTAGTAATAGCTGTTTTCTGAGCCCAGCCTAAGATACAGTCTTTTGGGTCTAGATGTGAATACACTTTGCCACAGTATGTTCTAAATTGAGTGTGTGAGACCAGGGGAGAGCCACCATCTCACTTCTCCTTCTACAGCTGGGTTCTGGGGTCTCTAAGTCCATACCTTTTTCCACAGTGGCCTTTGAAGTGCTGAGTAGCTATTCAATGTTTACTTCCCTACAGTGAGCTTTCCCCCTTTCAGGAAAACAGCATGTATATCTTTATTTTCAAGCTTCAAAGTTGCTTGAAAAATACAGGGTTGCTTTCTCATGGAATTTGGAGGACTGTTTTTATTCTTGTATCAGAATGAGTAGGCATTTTAAAATGCCCTTTGGAAGTGGCAGCTTCAGTAAATATTTAGGACATATCACTATGACCCTGTTGCGTGATAGAAAGGAAGCAGGACATTATGTAAAGAACAAGACATGTTTCTTGGGGTAACTTATATCTTTTATTCTTTTTACACGATGGGTTTATCACAACAGGAGCAGCCCCGTGAAGTAGGTAATTGGTAATTCTATTTCCCAGAGGAAACTGAGGTGTGGAGAGGTTAAAGGACCTTGTCAGGAAAGGAAGTGGCTGAGTTGGGTCTCAGCTATCAGCTCTGTAACTCACACAACTGGTGCTCTTTCTGCCACACGAAGCACACCTGAGGGTTAAATTAGATCACGTGTCACAGATGAAAGTGATGCAGGAAGTCAAGCAGGGAAAAGGATGGGGAAGTGGAATGTTCTGAGAAGGGTCTGCAGAGAAGGACCTTAGAGACCAAGGGAAGAGCCTGGCCTTGCTGAGGAGGAGGAAATGGAGAACTCCTAGCCCCTCTCCTAAGGAGTGAGCAATTTTGTTGTCCTACTTATTAACGGGAGCCATTTACTTTCCTTGCTGTCACTGGAGAGTTCCTCTGGCTGTTGGAAACTGCCTATGGACTTGCCTTTGCAAGATCAGGGTCCTTCGTTTGGATGGAGGCTTGCAATGCCAGAAAGAATATGTGCATGTGTATGTGTCTGTCTGTCTGTCTGTCTGTCTGATGGCCTAGATTGTCTCCCACCACTTGATATTTTTTCTTTTTTAAAGATTACAGTGTTATCTTTTAAAAGGAGTTAAGAAGTGAAATAACCCTATGGCGTTGGTCTGATCTTTGTGGTTCTGAAGGGGTTTCCCCTCCTGGCAGCCTTCCTGCGTTGGACAAAGGGGAAAGCCCACGTTCATGTCCTTGGGCATGAACATTCATTCCAGCAAGCATTTTTCTTTGGAGGTCTTGTGGCCACTTGCAGATGTTGAGGGTTTCTTGGCTGTTAGCCTAATGCTACTGAGGAGGATTTGGGGAGAAGCCTGGAGCCTGATGCTGGGAGATCCCTTTCCTGCAGGACCTCTGCCAGGGCGCCCACGTGCCTATGTGTCTTCTGGCCTCTCCAGGCAGCTCTGGTGCTGCTGCAGCTCCTGTGTAGTGCTTTCCAAATGGTCAGAGCTTCTCCTGGGTGTCCTATTTCTCTCTGGAGACTGCCCGCCTGGTTCTCCTTGACTATCCAAATCATTTTAAAGCCCTTTTCAGTGTCAGTGACATTTTCTGTAGCTTTATTTTCCATTAAACCATGTAAGGGACATTTGTTTTCTGAGTTATTGTGCAGATATTGATCAAGCACATTCTGAGCCCTGGAATGTGAGACGGGGATGCTTTAGACTGAAGCTCTTCCGCAGTCACTCACAGGCTCCTGGGGGAGTCTAGACAGACACCACAGGGAGTGTCAGAGGGAAGGCACACAGCACTGGGATGGATGCTCAGGAGCGGGAATGCCCAGCTCTTTTGCAGTCTGGAATGTCTTTTAAGTTTTACTGCCATTTGACTGGTTGTTATTTAGATGGGGAAATCAGGAGTGGACATACTGTCCATCTCTATTCCAGAGTCAGGTTTGGGGGTTAGCAGCGATGAGCTTGGTCTTTGAAATCAGGAAACCTGGGTTCAGGTCTTGTTTGTGCCACATGTGCTCCATAGGTGTTGTTGGTTCTTGGGGTTGGAGCGGGAGAGGCTTAATGAATGCTGGAGGCAACTTTTTTATGTTTCTCCCCAACATTGATGTTTCTCTCTTTCTCACTCAAATAAATAAATAAACAAATAAATAAGTAATTGAAGCTCACCTAATGTGCTATGCATGAGAGAGGCTAAGAGTCAGACCCTGGTCTGTCTTCAGCCAAAGGCCATGCTACATGAATAGCAAGGCTTTGTTTTAGAGCTAGGTATTTATTTTTAATATTTCTAGTGTGGGAACTAAAAAATATTTTTCGTCTAACTTCTTGGCTAGGCTGATTATCATATCAACAGAGACAGATTAACAGACGAAAATCAAGTTTTTAACACTTGCCCATGGGGAATTCACATAGGCATGGAAACTCCACAGACAGTGAGGCAACATTGGGTAGACGTGGCATTTTGGACAAAGGAGAAGAGGGTGGGGGAGATATTATATTTCAGAAGGGACAATGGGTTATTTACAGGTTGTGAGGGAGAGGGAACACTCATGGCAGGCAAATTCTTACTAGGCAACTCAGAAGGACACAGAGATCTTTAGCTAACAGACCCTGCCTGAAGCATTCCTAATTACCACACTTAATTCAAATTAGACTACAGTGAACATGCTAAGATTTCCTTCCGAAGCACACTTCTCTGTCTGAATCTCTTGGGCTGAAAAGAGAGAGGGTCAAAGGTTCTTTCTGAGTTTTGTTTCTTAATAAGCAGCTTAAAATCAATATCCCAAAAAGGCAGCTTCAGGGTAGCAAAACTTTAGTTTTTTCACTTGCTTTCCAATTTTCAATGATTGTTACAAAAAGGAGTACATGCTTATTAAAGAAAAATGGATGGGAGAGAAGTAGAAAATGCCCCCAGGCCTGTCATCAAATATAATTTCAGTTAAAATGTGATGTATTTTCTCCCAGGTTTATGCAATGTTATGTTCATTAATCAATGCTGAATTTAAATAAGAGGAGGTTCATTATTTATATGTAAATTTATGTTGATACTTACATACTTTTATAAAATTTTGAATCTGGCTTTTGAATATCCCCTGCAGATGTGAATTGGTTATTACCACATAAGTATTTTAATAAATAGTGTTTTGAACTTCAGGATTCAGAAAGGAAACTTACAGCTCTTGGCTGCAAGCTGCCATTTAATAAAAGGCAAGTTTCTTGACCTTCCTGGAATTTAGTTTCCAAGTTTATAAATGAGGGAGTTGAATCAGATCATTGATTTTACCACTGGGATTCCAGGAAATACTCTTTGGGCAGGGAGCAGAAAGGTGGGCAGAGCTGGAAGACGCTGGCCCTTCACCCTGCCTGTGTGACATTGGAAGCTCTTCTATAGATTTGGGCATCTGAGCCCATGAGGAAACAGGGATTCATTGATTTTTTGTGTTTATGTAAAAAAAATATAAATGTTGAATCAAACTGTCTTGAAGCTCAACATTTCTATCATATCTGTTAAGTTGCTGTGTGTTATGTACCTTTTAAAACACTTCTTCACCAGCTAGGATGATAGATTAAGCCAACATGCCACCTTCATTCAGCTTGTCCAGGAAGCACCTGCACACACAGAACCACTGATTCGTACTAAGCAGTGTCCACAGCATGATGAATTCTGTCTTAGAAAAGACCCCATTGAGGAGGCTGTAAAACATTTTCCCTTTGACTTTATCCATCACTTGGCCCTTTTAATGCTCTTTCAGGGAAGGCCAGCCAGGGAATCAGTGGCCCCTTAGACTAATACATGTTTGAAAACTACAGGCTTTATCAGTAACTGGATTCGCATTTTCCTTATGCTTATGGAGGTTTTGCATTTTGAGGGGGTTGACCAATATCTTGACCTTTTCTCTTGCCTCCACAGGAGGAAGAACCTTGTTGAAAAATGAGGTGAATGAATGCTCCGGTACTCAAGAACCCTGGACAGCTACATGAGCTGTTTAAAAACTGCCCTGACCATCTTGCTACCCCAATCCCTGTCATGAGGCCTGACAGGATGAGCCCGCCTCCGATGGCCAGCATCCTGCTTTGTAAAAACTCAGACTGCTGACCTGCCGAGAGCAAGCAGGGGCCTGCCTGTCGTCTGCCAGTACAATGAAGGAAGTGGTTTATTGGTCACCCAAAAAGGTGACAGACTGGCTGCTGGAGAATGCTATGCCAGAATACTGTGAGCCTCTGGAACATTTCACGGGCCGGGACTTGATCAACCTAACCCAAGAGGATTTCACAAAACCCCCCTTGTGCCGAGTCTCCTCCGACAACGGGCAGCGGCTCTTGGACATGATAGAGACCTTGAAAATGGAGCACCACATGGAAGTACACAAGAATGGCCATGCCAACGGGCACCTCAGCATTGGCACAGACGTCCCCACCCCTGACAGCAGATTCAGCATCAAGATCAAACCCAACGGGATGCCAAATGGGTATAGGAAGGAGATGATCAAGATCCCCATGCCAGAACTGGAGCGCTCCCAGTACCCCATGGAGTGGGGCAAGACTCTGCTGGCCTTTCTTTATGCACTTTGCTGTTTTGTTCTCACCACAGTGATGATCTCGGTCGTCCATGAACGAGTACCTCCTAAGGAGGTGCAGCCTCCACTACCGGACACGTTTTTTGACCATTTTAACCGGGTGCAGTGGGCCTTTTCTATTTGTGAAATTAACGGCATGATCCTTGTAGGACTCTGGTTGGTTCAGTGGCTGCTCTTAAAATACAAGTAAGTAAAGCAAAAGCCCTCAGACTCAGGGACTGAGGCTTTTGCACTGCAGATGTCTAATTCTCATTATTTGGAGATGCAACTTATGAAGCAATGCAATCAAAGCTTATTATTCCCCCGTTTTTAAAGCCACATACCCAACTGAAGCTCTGGCAGCTTTAAGAAAATACCATGTTTTGTGCAAGATTTGTACAGAATGGTGAAAAGGATTTTTGAGAGACTGTTCTGTTTTCACTTCACAGGAAAGAAAACCCTCAAACACCTTCAGAGGGTATATATAAGCTATTGAACCACAGAAAAACCAGCCAGTCTTGGTTGTGGTAGCCCAGCAGATAAATTGTTAACAGTTTGCCTAAGCACCATGCATGGCTGTATAGCTTTTCCCAAGCAGAGTCAGACATCTGGAAACTTAGCAATGCGTATTTATGGAGGTTTCACACACAAAATTCAGAACAGCTATTCCACAGTGGCTTGGGCCGTTGGGAAAATAATGCTCTCAGGGAATGACTCGGTTTAGGTAGGTGCAATGCAGTGAGCCAGTGTGGCTTTTCACCTTCTAGAATGTGTGACAACTAAAGCAGTATGTGGCTATTCCATTCACATTTCTCGGGGTTTAAGTAGGTGCCTCCTTTTAGTTTCCAGTATAACTAAAGTGGCTTTTATGTCCCTAACTCTAAACTCAGCATAGACCCCCTCAGGCAAGCTGTTTGCTTGGGATGTATAGCAAACAAAACACGTCCTCTCGTCATTGCTGTATGATTTTCCTATTACTTGGACATCTTTATGGCTTCCACTCATGGGAGTTAAAAACTGGTTTGTTAAGGAACTGAGTTTCTCTGCAGTGGGTTGTGTTTCATGACCCACAATATGGATGCATATTAAGAAAATCATCTTATATCAGGAAAACAAAATGTAGCCAGGATTTTTGTGAACTTGACCAAGCAGAAATGATGAATATTTTCCTGGTATGTTCCTAAAGGACTGTGTTTTGTCAGCTTATAAATTACATAGATGCAAGTGGAAGTAAAAACATTTTCTGACTCAGCCAGGGAAGAACTCTCTTAACTTGTATAAAGGAAGCTGTTTAAGTGGCCAGTGTTTATTTTGGGACTGATTTGGCAGTCCTCGAGTTTCAGCTAAATTGGAAATAGAAACTATGATGTGGGCTGCATTTGATTTGATGGGAGACCTTTTTTTTTGTTTGCTTTAGCTTTAAGAGACTGAATTGATAGGAATAAGCTTTAGAAATACGAGATGCTTCCAATTTATTAATTACATTCTTTTGGCTGCCAAACTTCAGTTTCTGTACTTGACTGTTAATTTCTAAACTTCTTTTCCTAAGAGCACATTAGAAATATGCCAGTATTTTTTCTTTAAAAGTCAATGTCAACTAAACTATGTTTTCAACTAAACTATTGTTTTGTTTATGACAGGTTGTTTTCTGGTTTTCCATCAACATTTTACATGCAAGCAAATAATTTACTGACCCAGAATATAACTTTAGTTAAGTCATACCAAGCTTGAGTCCAAACCTTTCACAAAACTGTGACTTTTAAGTAATTTATTCTTGTTCTAAGGAAGTATCCTGACCAGAGGGTTAATTTCTTTAAAATATGTCACTTTTTATATTTCTCTCAGCAGGGACTTTTCCCTCATATCTGTTTTTGCTTTAAGCTTTCTAATTTCTCATTTTCCTAGGACTTATTGCCAATACTACAGTCACTTGTATATTTGCATTGTTCAGTAGCAATAAATCAGTTATTTGTGCCTTGGACCAAATTAACCCAGTGTTGGCCACAGGCAGCCTGGGTTCCAGCCCAGCCCTGCCCTGCCCTGCCCTGCCCTGCCCTGCCTTGCCATGCTGGGTGGTGTGGGCGACTCTCAGCCTCAGGAGCCTGCTTTTTCTCACAGATAAAAAGGAGCCTCTCAGTCCAGATGATGTCTGTTCTATACAACTGTGTTTTGTTTAGGTCTAACGTGATTGGATGGGCCAATTATGTTAAGTTATCATTAGCTGCAGTGTTGTCTTATGTCCAGAAGACAGGCAACTAAGGATTCTTTAAAAAGTGTTCTCTCCTGTTTCCATGTTGATCGGAGGGGCATGGGAAATGGAAGCAGCCTCTTGTCAAGATAACCCTAAACAGCCCCACCCGCTGTCCTCCCACTGGGCGTATCCCTGGGTTCCCATCGGCCTCCCTGAGGTCTGTCTTCAGTGTATGTGACTCACCAGACATGTAAGAGGTGGCAGGACAGATGCAGTGGATATTGGTATACCGCCTTCCCCAGCTCTCATGCTCGGTCATGTCAGAGACCCCTTGTTTCTGGTTATTTGCCTGTTGCTATTTAGCAGTTTTGTTTATCCAGCATGGCAGGGAAATGGAGACTTCTGAGTACAGGGTATTGTGTTAAACAGGAAGTTCAGTCTCCCTCTTTCCTGCTTGACTCTTCTGGCTTTTGACCCTTTTCCCTAACCCCATACAGGAGGTTTGCCACTTAGGAGGCACGTTGCATATGACTCCTCAAAGGTGGCCCTGTTTGGCCAGTAATCCCACAGGTGAATTTTACTTTGATTTTAAGAGTCTCGGAGCCCTTTAAAAACAGACTAGCCCTGGCCAGTGCTCTCAGTGGTTAGAATGTTGGCATGCGCACCGAAGGGTTCTAAGGTGGATTTCCAGACAGGGTATGTACTTGGGTTGCAGAATGCGAGCAGGAGACAACCAATCAATGTGTCAGACTTCACCAAAATCGGGAAGTCCTTGTTTTAAGAAAGCATGATAAAGACTGTTAACCTTGCAGACTCAGTAAGGACTTTCCATGCATGGCTAAATCATGGCTACCACATGGTGACAGGGTGGCTAGTGGGATGTTGACTAACACCTGGTGAAGAAGGCCAAGGATCAGGTGTGCAGAACTTCTGAGTCAAGGGTTTTGTAGCCCAGAGAAATCACTGACTTAGTTTAGTATGATGGTCTTAGACCCTCAAATTTAACTAGTCTAATACTAGGTTTATCGTTTTCCCCTCAACTTACTCTTCCTCCTTTGTGGGCAGAGGCATTTCCTAAAATCCTAGAACTTCTCAGTTCCTTTTATACAAATGCTGACTCTATCAATTCTAATTTCAGACTTGTTGCTGTTATTGGTGAAGTGGAATTCTTGGGGCTCAGGAGAATGGGGTTTTGTGGAGAGTTTTTTTTATGTAGAATTAAGGAGTTTCCCCTCCTAGATCCCATCTCTGTCCATCCTGCCACGGGAGATGTCCCATCTTGTCTTCAGCTGGGCCAGGAGGAAGGCCTCTGCCCATAGTTCCTGCTGCACATGAAAGTTCAGTTCTGCCCAGCCTTCTACATGTGAAGTCTGTGTGGCCGGGCCATCCGGTTTCCTAAGGCCACCTGGCCATTGAGAGAGCATGGAACGCACCGGGGAGTGCAGGTTACAGAGCAAGAGGGAGCAAGAGAAAGGGCATTTTTGTCGGGGTTTCTAATCTAACCAGGAGCTTCTTCAAACTAAACAATTAGCTTTCCAAGATTTCGTGTGCTTCTGATGGTCCATCACCTAGCCTGTCCATTGTTCTCAGTAGACTGGCCGGCAGACTCCCTTATGCCACCCAACTTTACTGCGCATCTGCCTATCTCCCCTGCTCCGAGCAAAAACCCAGCACCAAATGGGCAAGGGGGGGTGTTAGTCCCAGCAGAGGAACAATGCTGGGAGGAGCTATAGCTTCCTGGGAAGCTTCCCAGGTGACCATGCTTACAGTATCTGATTCCCTTTCCTTTCTTCCCTTTGTTAATATTACAACCGTAACACTACTTCTTGTCATTCCCACCTATTGATGTATAGCGGGTGCTCAGATGGAGGCCCATCTCTTTAGCATGAAGCTCGGGGTTCTTCATAATCTGTCTCCGACCTGTCCTTCCTCATCTCTGGCTACTTCACTCCACAGGATCCCTCAAACACTTGAAGCTCTTATCACGTTCCATTGTATTCCTTGTTTATTTCCTTCACTGCTCAATTTTAAGTTTCTTTAGGGAAAAGTCTGGATCCTATTCATTTGCAGTAAGCAAATGAATGCGTAGTACCAGGTAGTGATAGGAAATGAAGAAAAACAAGGCACCCAATAGAAGGTACTGGGAATACTGGGGAGAAGGTTTAGATAAGGTGGAGGAAGAGTCCTCTAATGAGGTGACATCTGAATCGAATGAGGTTGAATACATATAGGTATTTGGGGCCAGGGCATCCAGACAGGAAGTAGGAGATGTGCAGAATCCCCTAGACCAATGGTCGGCAAACTATGGCTTGCGAGCCACATGCGGCTCTTTGGCCCCTTGAATTTTTAGCAAAGGCCAGTTTAGGAGTACCCTAATTAAGTTAATAACAATGAACTTATCTATATAGTTTAAGTTTAAAAATTTTTGCTCTCAAAAGAAATTTTAATTGTTGTTTTTGGCTCTGTTGACTAAAGAGTTTGCCAACCACTGCCCTAGACTTACTTTAACTTGAGAACAGCTGGGAAGGTAACATAGGTCATGAGGTGTGGATGGTGGGTGAGGTAGGCATTGTTAACCAGGGTTAAAGAAACTGGATTTTGTTCCAAGTGTGATAAGTCATTAGAGAAGAATGCTGTGAACAGATGTGCATTTTAAAAGGTTCACCCTGGCTACAGTGTAGAGAATAGGAAAGTGTGAGTGGAGGGGGTGGGAGGACTGGGGGGCTGGTTAAGACGTCATTGCTGCTGTCCAGGTGGGATATAATCATAACATAGACGCAGTTCATGTGGCCAGTGAGTCAATTTTGTGCTGGGATGGTGGGAAGGGATGAACTCCGGAGAAGGCATGGCTCCTATTACACGTAGAGCTGCTTATCTTTTATAGCTACAGTGCTGCCTTCTGTTGTATTTATGCAAGGTTTTGAGGTCTCTGTGAACCCCTGAATTTTATATGGAATTTAATGGGGAGATAGAATTCACTAATTGGGGAGCTCTCACAACCTTGCTTGAATATTTT